GTGGGATACTTCAGGCCGCGAGTGTGGTGGGCCGGAGCGGGGCCTTGTCCGGAGGCGGTTGGGGCCGTTGTGCGGGCGAGGTTCCCCTCCCCCTCTCCCCCAGCCCCAAGCCTTGAAGGGGGGTCGGGGCGGGGGTCCTGGGGCAGCTTTGTTGTCTGACCGCAGTTTCTGACCCGTGGACTGTTGGCGGGACGGCCTCCAGGGAGCTCTCTTCTGGGTCCTGGGGCTTGGAGTAAAGGGGAGGCTTCCTGCCCCTTTCTGTTTGCGGGACACCGTGGCGCCCGCTGGGCCCCTGTGCAGCGGTGGACTTGGTCGTAGCGGGTGAGGGTGATGGCCGCCCAGCCCCGGCCGCAAGGGGAGCAGAGCCTCTCCAGCTCTGAACGGTCACCTGGGTCGTTGGAGGAAGCCCAAAAGGTCCCTTTGACGCAACCGGGACCTCAGCCTGTTACACACTTGGCGTTGTTTTCCGGAATCGCTGTGCAGTGCGTCGTGCAGAGATTTGGAGAAGCGACTTGACAGCGGGCGTTCTAAGGCCTATGGATGGCCTTTATGCGCAAAATAGTGTGTGGTTTTTCTAAGGCCTGTGGTTTTTGTGGTTTTTTTGAAAAAATATTGAATGGATTTACAACTCAGAAAAGGTTAAAATAGTATGAGAGAGAGAGAGTTACACAGCCTTCTATGTTTGTGGATTTGGACATCCTAGTTCCGATGATGAAACTGGAATGTCACATAACCTAATACATAAAAATCCCCGACGTACCGGAAAGTATTTCCCCTGTGCTCTAAACTCTTTTTTTTTTAAAATATATTTTATTGATTTTTTTTCAGAGAGGAAGGGAGAGAGATAGAGAGTTAGAAACATCGATGAGAGAGAAACACCGATCAGCTGCCTCCTGCACATCTCCCACCGGGGATGTGCCCGCAACCCAGGTACATGCCCTTGACCGGAATCGAACCTGGGACCCTTGAGTCCGCAGGCCGACGCTCTATCCACTGAGCCAAACCGGTTTCGGCTACTCTAAACTCTTGAAATAATTTATTTAAACGGTATGGTGCTTGAACACAACAGCTACTTAATGATAGATACTTAACAAGTAATAAGCTTTAATTATGCTGTTAAGCTGGGGTGACACTTTCTACTACCTTTTTAATGAGTGATTTGACTTCCTAAAAATGTGGACTGTTTCTTAGGAACAGGGAGGTTTTATTCTTGCATCTCTTAAAGTTCTGTTTATGTAAAATTAACCATTTCCCACTCTGTTTTCATTGTGAATTATTTTAAATATGTAGAGACCTGTGAAGAGTAAGATAGTGAATACATGTGCATGCATTCCCTCCCGGCTTTAAAAAATAATATTTTGCCAGATTTGTCTCATTCTAAAAAAAATTAAAATTAGAGACACAGATAAACCCTCCCATTCTGTTTCCTGCAGTAACTACTGTCCCTATTTGGTGTGTAGTGTACCCAATAGCTTTTATACTTTATCTTATATTTCACTACTTAGCTTTGTGTATATATATATATATTTTTTAAATATATTTTATTGACTACATCGATGAGAGAGAAACATCGATCAGCTGCCTCCTGCACACTCCCCACTGGGGATGTGCCCGCAACCAAGGTACATGCCCCTGACTGGAATCAAACCTGGGACCCTTGAGTCCGCAGGCCGACGCTCTATCCACTAAGCCAAACCGGTCAGGGCAATGTATATATATTTTTTCAAACTATCATTTTGCAAAATGTGTTTCCAGTTAATCCTATATAATAAAAGCCTAATATGCTAAGTGTCCAGTTGGCTGTCAATCTAAGCATAATATGCTAATGAAATGCTAAGGCCGCTCAACCACTCGCTATGACAGCACTGACCACTAGGGGTCAGACACTCTGACGGGTAGGTTAGCTTGCTGCTGGGGTGATTGGGACTGAGCGAGATAGACTGGACATACCCTGGAGCCCTCCCGAGGTCCCTCCCTGGCTGGCCAACCTCCCACATCCCTCCCTGGCCCTGATCGGGTCCCTCGTCCTGGCCTGCACCCTCTCGCAGTCTGGGACCCCTCGGGGCATGTCGGAGAGTTGGTTTTGGCCCAATCCCGCAGGCCAGGCCGAGGGACCCCACTGGTGCACGAATTCGTGCACCGGGCCTCTAGTATTATATATAAATATTATTTATTTTGAGTTTATCTTGTTCATACATATAGCTGTAGCTTATTTTAATTGCTGTAGGATAGTCTGTTATATAAAAACAAACTTTATTTGCTCTGTTGTAGATTTTAAAGTATTAGTTGGTACATATTAAAAACTGCTGCAATGAACATTCTTGTGCCTTTCTCCTTTTCCACATTTCCAATGGGTTTTCTAATGTGTTACTGTAAGTGGAATTGCTTGGAAGGGTGTTTATCTTCAAGTACTATTGCCAAGTTGTTCCCCAAAGTGGTTATATATTAGTTTTTCCTTTCACTAGCAAGGTATTCTGTTTTTCTACAATCTTTCCAGCACTTGATACTGTGGGGCTGTAAAAAATAACTTCTGACCTTTTTAAGTTCTAGCTGGGCTAATTATCCAATTAACAGAGGCATTAATAGCAGAAAATGTACAAAATTTATTACAGATATGCATGTGGGTGTGCCATAAGAATATGACACACAAAGAAACATTGGGCAGTTTATATGCCATTTTAGACTAAGGAGAAGTGGTGGTGGGGGGGTGGTTTGGGACTTTAAAGGGCAGGAAAGCAATTCACATGGAGATGGAAAAGCAGATGTTTGGTAAATAAATGTTTACTGGGCCATCTTTAACAATAGGATACTGAGAGGACTTTGAATAAATGGGTCTTGCTAGGTTCCTTCGTGGCTATCACACACAGTAGTTTATATTAAACTCTAAGTATCTATGATGATATCTCCCTTCCTGGAGCAGATCCTCTATCAAAATTCTTTTTAGCCAATTAGGGGAAGGTCAGTGTTTCTTTCTGTCTTTTGTCCTTAATTACCAGCTTAAAATCAATATCCCAATAGGCTTATTTTGGGGTAGCAAAATTTAGTCCCTCTCAATGTTATTTTTTTTAGTACTATATTTGCCAGTCTAATGGATGTGAAATGCTATTTCACCTTTATACTTCTCTGATTAGTCATAAGATTGAGCATTTTTTTGAAAGCTTATTCACCATTTGAGTTTTTTCTGTTGATTTTCTTTTTGCCCACTTTTCTTTTGGCTTTATCTTTGTTTATTAATTTGTAGTAGTAATTTATTGTTCATACTAATTCTGTTTTCTTTGTTTTTAGTATCTTTCAGTCTATGGCTTATCTTCTTTATATTCATGATCATTTATGTTTTACAGGTACTTTTAATTTTAATATAGCCAAAATGTTCATATTCTTTGTGCTTTTTGTGTCTTGAAATCCTTTCTCTTCAAATCAGGAAAATTTTTCTTTTAAATGTTCTTTTCACATGTATGTCTAATCCACCTGGTACTGAGTTTGTTGTACAAAATCATTGTGAAATAGGGAATCTAATTTCTTTCCATGTGGATTACTGGTTGTCCCAGTACCATTTATTCATCTATTCCATATTAGTTTATAATGCCATCTATGTCATCAAGTTTTCCTAAATGTGTGGTTCTGATTGCCCCTAACCTGCCTCTGTCTCGGCCCCACCACCATGGCTTTGTCCGGAAGGTCTCCCGGTCTAATTAGCACATTACCCTTTTATTAGTATAGATTGCTTCTACTTTAGAGCTAGCTGCTTTATCAAAACCTGAATATACTATACTATTTGGCAGTCTGCTGACCTTTGCACAAGTTTTATTCCATTTTTTTATGATATAATATAAAGGAAACAATATTACCCATAAATTATTCTTGGCAAAAATGTTAAGATTCTTTTATATATATTTATTGATTTCAGAGAGGAAGAGAGAGATAGGAACATCAATGATGAAAGAGAATCACTGATTGGCTGCCTCCTTCATGCCCCACACTAGGGATTGAGCCTGCAACCCAGGCATGTGCCCTGACCAGGAATCGAACCATGACTTCCTGGTTCATAGGTCGACACTGAACCATTGAGCCACACCAGCTGGGCTTCACTGATTCTAATCAAACATTTAGAAACAGTCTTTAGTTTAACTGGAAATATAGAGGATAGAGGTATACTTAAACAACATTTTTGGAGAAAACATCTAGAATGTGGGGCATTCTAGAAGAAAACTGGCTGGACTCTTCAAAAAGTCGAGGACATTTTTTAAAAAGGGGTTGTTCTAGTTTAGAAGAGAGGAGACAACCAACTACAACATGTAAACCTTAATTTAATTTTTGTTTAAAAAAAATGACACTGAGCACACTATTTTGTCAAACTGGTATTTTCTTGATAGCAAAACTTTATCTGTGAAGAAGGGATATGCTGATTTACATTATGGTGCAAGCTCCTTATCTGGTAGATTAGCCTTTTGAATAGCAGTGGCTACAGGATGATTGGGGAAGAAAATATCCAGAATGAAGCACAAAGTGACAAAAGGACAGAACATACAGAAAGGAAGGGAAGAGATTTAGGGGATGAAATAAGGTATAATTTACAAATAGAAAATAAATGAACAGTCCTGTAAGTCTAGGGTATCCCGAAAAATGTATACACACACTTTGAATAATTATAAAAGCAGTGTTTATTAAAATACATTTTCAAAATTGAGCTATCACCTCGCTGTTAAAGTGTGTATACTTTTTGGGGGACACCCTTATTAAAGCAGTGCTTCTCAAAATATTTGTGTTAATGCCAGTACGTTTGTAAATTACAGTAAAAATATCATAGCAGTGTCAAATTACTTAAACACTTAACCTCATTTTCTGTACTTTTAATAGATTGGTACGAATGGTTCATAAACTAGCACTGGTCCACA